TTACGACGATTTAGAGTTATTGGAATTTTTAAATACCTGTAGCGTGGTTATAGAATTTATGTATTAATTTTTATTCAATCGTGCTGTTAAAAACATAATATTATTTTGGACCATGTCAAATAGTAAAAAAATTGAATTTTGGAAAAAAAAATGTCATTTCAAATTGTTGAGCCTTTTAGCCCAATTTTTAGTTGAAAGATATCCGTGAATCATATACCAGCGTTTAGTTGTACCAGATGCATTATCGGCTACACCTTTATTGTAATAGCTTTGCGTATTTTCGTATGGGAGAGAAGATCTATAAACGCTGCAACCGTAAAGACCGGTAATTATTGCATTGCACTACCCGAATTATGCTATCATATACCATATACCACATCATGTCAACATACCGACCGTAACCACGATATCATGTAAAAGCGTTTACTGGCTACTTACTTGGTCGGGAGTGTTTGCCACATTGGTAATCAGTAAAGCAGCTACAACCATTGATGAGGTCGAAAACCTGTTGCATTGTCGGCAATATAATAGTATACGGGACGAACCGTGATGTGTATACCGTGGTGTACTACACGCACTGAAAACTACGGCCTTAAGTTGTTTTGGTTGTTTTTGTTGAGCACGTGACACGAGTTGATGATGGTGGTATATAGTATAAACGTACGGATTTAAAAACGCCGCATTTAGGGGAGGCGATAACCGCAGCTAAAGGGGTTGTTTCACAGGATGGCTACATACAATTTTTTAAATTTTAATATTTTAATACTCTCACAACTTATTTGACTTATTTTCTACAATTGAGATTTGTTACTTTGTAACTTGTATCTAACCGTTATTTTTAATATTAGTATGAATGCCACTATAGTTATGATAAACATTAAAATTATCTAACTCATTATTAATTATAATAATATAATAAAGAAAGTTACAATCCAAGAAAAAAATTAAAATGTTCTGTCATTTTTTAAAAACATATTGTTTAAGACATTTTTTTTTACTTAAATAATTGAATACTTTTTTGTTTACTTTGAGTGATAAATTTATAAATACGGCTCTAGTCATCGATAGTCATGTCATCGTTACTACTCGCGTGCAACGTGCAAGGTGTCGCGTTAAGTTTTATGTTCAATATTTTCTCGATTCTGATCGCATTTTACCATCTCTACCGTGATTTCACTGAAAATAGGTTTATATATGTATACATGATTTATAAATATGGATATCGATGTGGTGATCGTGCGAGGAGAAGCTGATGGAGTTAGGATAATAATATCTGGTCGAACTAATGAAAGCTATTAAAATGCAAACGAGCTCTTTTTCATTTTTTCTTATTCACGTACTTATTTCGGTTTACCACCCACCCCTACCTCAGCACTCATGGCTCTTCGACCCACCCCACCCAGGGTCTGCCACACCGCACCGCCGCCCAATTTTTTCCTCTTATATGCCCGAGTAACACCCACTCATTCGACTGATGGCGCGCGCGCACGTTCGGCCACATCCCCTCGATATTCCGTTTCCTTTCATTTTTTCTTATTTTCCTTTTTTGTCTCCACCTCGCCGCGCCCTTTTTCTTCTCACGCTTAAGTACAAATCACCTCTTCCTACACACTGTCCAATAAACACTTCAACTTGCACAAAACCAACTGCCGATAACTGGACATCAAAATCGCAGCCGCTAATCACCATACGATAACACCAATACATCATTATATTATAATTATCGGTTGGTCATTCGCAATTTATTGATAGGTAGTCAATAATTTATACAACGATATTCACAAGCAAGTCATTAAAAAGTTAAATGATCATCGAAATTCCGTCTATTAGGTGTCCGTTTTACTTGCCATCCACCAGCAAATCTTCAATATGTTTAAAATATATCGTTCTGAGATTGAATGATAACGGACGATTGAAAGAATATAAGACATCTGTTTAGGTGATCTCGGTAGAAATTTCACATACGGTCCACCGAAATTACCGCTATCATATGTGTTTTGAATGTTTATCGTTAACATGTACGTTTAACAGCGAGTCGATAAAAATATGTTCTAAAATTTAAAACGTATATTTTAAATGGCGTAGGATTTTTCGATGTTTGATAATACAGTTGAAGCTAATAAAAATAAAATGAATATTTTCATTGGAAAAATTTTAGAGAATAATTTTGTTTAAGTCAGCATTATGGTATTAGTGAAGTACCTTTGAAAATCCTATATATTTGATTATATATTCACAGCGCGCTAGTACGACGATTTATACAGTGAAAACGTACCGAAAGTTTAGATTTTATTTAAGAAATATGTTATCATACATAAATAATTCATAATAATTAATAAAAATGAATTAAATTTAAATGATTATTTAATTTATATTTGATTTATAATTGATGGTTGCGTGGTAGTTTTGATAAGTGTTTTATATAATAGAAAAAAAGTAGTTTTCCGATTATTACATACGTTTGTCATATTATGTATTTCAGATTACTTTGTCGGAGGCTCCATACCAAATTTATCATAACAATATTTAATAATATTATGTCCGATCTATTTATCACATATAATTTCGTAGACAAATATTTTATTTGTTTTAAATGCATTATTTGTATGATTAAGTACATATTATTTGTAAATGAAAGAACAATTTGAATTTTCAAAATCCCTGATAAGTTAAAATTTCATTCTTAAAAAGTTATATTTTTCATCAATATTAACAATACTAATTTAGATTACTATAAAGCAAATGTATAATATTATTGTTTGATGTTTGATTACGATGCATCAACGTAAACCTATTATTTAAACTATCACTACCATACAATTTTCTCATTAGTATTATTGTAGGTGTTATCCTCTTAAATTCGATTTCGCACAGGTAACTGATAATGGCAGACATTTATATTTATTATTTTTTTTTATTATTCTTTAAGTTACTTAATAATATATTATTTTTATGATTGTAACTTTTATTTTTATTTTTTATTTTAATTCATAACTACTGTAGCAAAACATTTCGAATAATTATATATTATTTCATTTAACTAATATTATGTATCTACGCATTTTGAAATATTGTTAACCATGCCAATTTTAGTATTGAAACTCGAAGAAATTGAAATCCAGGTGTAATGTTCTCGTTAAACTCTCTTACAATACAAAATAGAAAAACGTACATCTATTCTAATAAAAACAGAGATTTTGTGTAAATATGTAAATTAGTGATATTTTACATAATATTTAACACGTGTAAACAATACCATTACGTGTATAAACAGGTTTCAGAACAATAAGTAAGTAGGCTGTTAACCTTACTTAAAGTTTAATATTTTTTCTATTAATTCCAGTGAAACGGAATATATTAAATAGAATTATTAAATATATCACTTATTACAATTGATTTTTATACTTTCCAAAATGTATCATATTGTAAAAATATGGATTCAAATTCTTATTACTTATACTACCTTCAATTAATAAATGCGAAAATTAAATGTTTTAAATGCTTGAAATAAATTATAAACTCCGAGTAATATCATAATGACAACATGTACGGTTATCCACCAAACAACGAGAACAACCGATTAAATAAATATTAATGAAATATATACATTTCATGTTTAATTACTGTTTAATCCTAATGTAATTGTATTAATAAATGTATTTTAAAAATATTGGATGATATACATTTAAAAACAAATTAAATAAGTTTTATTTATAAATTTTACAAAAAAAAACAATAATTTTAAGAAATTGTGAATAAACAACGATTTTTTGGCGAAAACAATTTATGATGCAAAAACATAAAAAAGTATAAAATATTGAAATAATACTTTAAAAAAAAAAATGTTAAATCAAGTAGCTAAAAAATTTTAAAATTTAGATAAATCAAACATTATATTATTATTATTATTATTATTATTTTAAGTCACAAGAACCAATAATAATGCGTAAAAATTGTAAAATTGCATATCATATTACTTTATAATATATTTACTTAAGGTTTATTATGTACATTGTACACTGCGCGTGGAGTTTGTTTTGTCAGTAAGTTCGTCAATGTATCATATTTAAATTTTAAATTATATTTGATTTGTTTCGATGTTATTAAAAACTGATGGTATATTATAGGCATTTAAAATCAATGGATACCGTCAGTACCTGGACGAAACAGTTTCCGGAGGTAAATACTAAACTGTAATAAAAATGCTATTTTACACACGCATTTCAAATGTGTATACCACGGCAATAGCCTTTTTTTTTGGCGGGAAATTCGCAGTGCTTTATTTTTACACTCGCCCGTATATACTGTACTATTTACGTCTATAAGCACCATAGTATTTGTTACAACGCATGGATATCAGTGTTTTTATTCGTATTATTGTTTTTTGTTCGTATTTGTTTTAACTTTTATTATTGCGATAAACCAACAGCTAATATTTGTATTCCATAAATTATTATCAATTACAATTTTCTAATTGCATATAAGTATATACATCATAATAATATAATATGGATTACATCATAATCACAGATTTTTATTTTATTTTTTTTAATAAAATATCTAAATACGTATGAGTGAAAATAGTGTACTTAATATGATTTTAATTACGATATAAGTAAACACACTCGTTGGTCGTGTTTACGAATAAATAAGATAATTACGTGTTGTTGTTCGTTAAATTATTGGTTTAAATACAATATTCCATGTTTATATACCTAAATAATATTACAGGTAAATATTAATATATTTTCGTATTAATGAAAACACTACGATACTATCGTGTTCTCTTGAAATATTGTATAAGCGATTTAAAACGATTGCGAGATGCCGAAAAAAAGTTTTTACGTGACACATTATAAGTTTCCCACCGAGTTACGAAAAAAAAAAAAAAAAAAAAACCCAAAAAATTTAACGAAAGAAAAAAAAAAAAAAAAAAAAAAACGAACAACGGTGAAGAAAAATCAAACCACTAGAGTAAGGACTATGATATTGAATCTTACCCCGTTCTGAGATACGTCGATCACTTCCAAATCCGGTCGTCGATCGATCATTTTAGATCGGCGAGGAGAAGACGATTACACGACGAGTAATTTGAAAACCGTTTCGACGGGCCGCGGCGGGAAACGAAAATCGAGAAATCGAAAACGAATCGAATTCAAACGGTCAACCCGCTGACCGCCGGCCAATCGAACTTTGTCTGCGCAACATCGTCGTCGTCGGCGGAGCGTACGGTGTACCCTTCACCCGCCCACACACACATGCACTCGCGATTTTCAAAATATTTATGTTTTTCGTCGTACCTTGCCAATGACGACGGCGACGGTGAATATGACGACAACGATATCAAATAATAATTATTGTAATAATAACGATGACGACGATAACTGATTAGGATAATAATAATAATAATAATAATAATGATGTATGCGGGATGTGTGAAAAAGTGACGACTAGGAGAAAAAATGAAGAATGAACGCGACGCGTGTACGAGCGAACAGTAAAACACCTCCGTCCGCGGAAGACGCACGTTAGCGTGTGCCGAGGGCAGCGGCATGTGATGGTTTTAACATGACTAGTTGTGTGCGTGTGCGTGTGCCCACCGACCGACCGACCGAGTGAGCGTGTGCGTGTGTGTGCGCGCGTGTATTTGCATGCGACCGCCCTCCTCCTACTCCTCCGCGGCGGCAACCTCCTCATCCCGCGACTCGCCGTTCACCGCCGCCGCCGCCGCCGCCTCCGACGACGCCGCATCGCTAACCCGCCCCCGCCGGTTCCTCGTCGCCCTTCACACGTCACGCCACCGCCGCCTCGCCACGCACGCCACTAACGCCGCCGCCGTCGTCGCGGCGACGGTCGACTCGGCGCTACGGCGACGTACTCGCGCGCGCTTCGAAGCGTCTTGAAGGGTCGGCTGACCCACCGCCGCGGCCGTCGGCTGTATTATTACCTATACATCTGATATGCCTGCGTGTGCACACGACGACCGCGACGGCGATAACGACACGGAAAAAAAACACACACACACACACACGACGATATGAACAGGCGAATAAGCGATAAAAGCGCATTCGGCCGGTCCGTCATCCGTCCGCCACCTGCACCACTGGTCGCGGCGATATCGTTATACCTCTCTCGCGCGAGATGGACGTCATCCCCGTCCCCGGGACGCGGCGTGTCCGCGACGGCGTGCGTCGGGCCGCGTGATCCGCGCCCGTCGGTGACCGCTGTGATTTCGCGCTCGGATCGCGAGCTGCACGCGCCCCACTGCCAATCGGACCGACCGTTTCGCTCAGCGCACCCGCCGCCTATGAAGATGTGCCGCGTCCGCGTGTCCGGCGATCTTCAAACGAGAGCACGGCTGCGTAACCGCCGCCGCGCGACCATCGCCCGCACCTATAGTACGCAATACTGTCGTGCCGCGTTGTCGCTAGCCGATCGTCATGTGCCTGCAAAAAATGTTCACCGTTTCGGACGTTTTCTGTCGTGTCGTGTGCCCTTTTATCGTGTCCTGGTTGGTCCGCGTTGTGACCATATGGTATAATATCGCACACTTAAACCGCAACTCACGAAATACCGGGAAATGTCCACGGGTGGAACTTTTGCACCGACGCGCGACCCGACTGTGAACTCATGGTCTTTGATTTAAAAACATGTATTTACAATAATAGAGACGACACCAGAAGTGTTAATAGTTTTCATCTGGGATAAGTCACCCGTTGCTACAGACTAGTTAAAAACATAGATCTAAAATAATAGTTAATAACCAGGTTCGCATGTATGCCTATTCTACAACTACTTGTATAACTAAGAGCCTAATAATTATCTACATTATGTAGGTACGTCATAATTTACGATCGTTATTTATTAAATATGAAATTGGCAATTTCAATTTTTTATATAAAATTTTGGAGAAGATCTACATTAACACGTGTCACGTAAAAAATTTCTTTCGTTCTATATCTAAAAATACATAATAATAGTATGTAGTTTTATTCTTTGTTAACCATAAATATATTTAAAAATCTGTAAGTCTTAAGTTGTACAATAGCAATAGTGATAATATATGTTGAATAGGTGGTTAGTGGTTATTTTGACTTGTGTGAAGAATCCATTCATTGATGGAACATCATGGAATGTGCATGTTATTTGGTCAATTAAAAGATCCCAGACTCAGTACGAGAAGGGAGTTTGATGTAGTATTATTACATACAATTTTTGTTAGATAAACGATTTGAAAGAAGACTATTAGTGAGTGAGATAAAAGAGGACTTATCATTAATTTAAATCCTTACCTGTGTAGTTAACATAAAAAAAACATAATACTTATAGTATTGTCAAGTCAATTAAACGATTTTAATCCATAAACTGTTATTCATAAGATTATTTTAGCATGATGATTAAAAATAGTTAAAAATAATATTATTATTAACACGAACACTGCATTGATCGATGAACGTTCACCGTCTTATAATTTGATCGTTGCAAAAATTAATAAACAAGAAAATAAAATTGGTATGTGAAGAAAATAAGAAATATTAGGTATATTTGTTGATTTCAACGACATAAAACTTAAGTCTTTATAAATAAATCATAGTTATCATTGTAAAAAATAGAACTATTTAGGAACATGATATTTTTCAAACACAGCAATTAACTAAAGTAATAAATTATTTTTGTTGAGAACATTCTGTTTATAACATACTATATGGTGTCGAAACTGTACGCATGGTAATTAACCCATCTAATCGATTCAAACACTCATAGGCTCGACTTTAGAGGGAAATAATTATATAATATATTATATTTATATGTTTCATAATATTCAACAAACAATTAACATGATAAAAATTAATAATTTTAAATAAAATACAAAATGTAAAATGAATATGATAATAATCACTAAGTGGGTTGAATATGATTCAGTCTTTGTAGTTGGTAACTTTCCCCAGTTGAAGATTTGAGTGTTGAGGGGTAAGCATGATAGGTAGCTGTATCCTTTATAACTTGACATTAAACATTTTATCTTTATAAACAAAAGAATATTAGTTGGATCGTATTTTTAATATATTTATATTATTATTTTTGATATGATAATGTAGTTAACAATATTAATGATATACATATTATTTTAATAATACACGTTGAGCTATTAATATACACTATATATTAGTTAAAATTACTACTTTTTTAAAATATTCGTATTTGTTTAATATTTTATTATTTAATAAACACAAAAACAATTTATTAATTTCAACTAAACAATATATTTGACTAATACTGAATTTTTGTTTTATTTAATTTTTTTTCGTACATTTTTGAAGTTCTATTAAAGACTAGACGGATTAAATCAACTTTCTTAAGTTATTTTCTACTGAATATATTATGAATAAACATTTATATATAATATATACATATTTAATATTTATACATCATTATCTATACAGCTGATTAATATTTAGTTTATTATTATTTTTTCAATTATATTTTGTACATTATAGATTATTTGAAAACACCAAGATGTTTAATTTTTTTTTTAGTATACTCGTATAATATAATATAAATATAATAAATTTTAAAATCCATGATAAATGATTTACTATAAAATGTACATCAGATCATCTGTTTTGACTTTTCCAGTATATTCAGTTGATAATTGATACAGCGTAGATATAACTACTAGTTATAATATAACTATAACAATAAAATGTCACTTATTATGCGTATAATAAATAATAATACACTAAACTATTAATTCAGACTACATATTTTCAGGTATTTTATTTATTACGTTAGACATATAATTTGAGATTAATGTGTAATTTTTGGGAATGTAGCTTGAAGATAATTCATGGGAAAGTTTGAAGATTGCCGGCAAAATCAAAAAATTTATAAGACATATATAGAATTTATTATGTTAACTATTAGCATACTACAATTAGATATTCAAATTTTTAGATCAAATGTAATGCAAAGTTAAATTATTTTAAGTGGAAAAAAAATTTAATAGAAACGTTTTTTTAATCAATCTAAAATTAATAAAAAAATAAAAAAAATAAAGCAAACATTAATTTTTTTTTTGTATAATGTTTGCATTGTGCGTTTATGTCCGGTGAATTTTCATTGGAATTTTATATTGTACAATTATTTATGATAAAAAATAATAAAAATTATTTAATTACGTTAAATCAACTTTAATTTACTATACATAGAAAAGTAATAAGTTCACCTTATACTTCAAAACTCTATTGCATAAATATTTAATTACCTACCTGTTTAAAATATCTAATTTTTTCTTTTACTTTTAAAATTATTATTTACGTGAAATTTAAATTAGATTGATTATTTAAAATCAAAATTTTTTAACTGGTATTATTTTACTTTCTTTTTGTTAAACTTTGGTAATTTTAGGTAATTTTTTTGTGGGTATACAATGGTTCATAACGCTTAAAACTACCTATTTTAAATTTTGTTTTAGCTCTTAATTATATTAAAATATACAGCATTACTATTAAATGCAATCATAGAATAGTAGAAAATGTATAGTGAATGTAATTATATAAGTATAAAATATTTATATTGAATTGAACAATAATTTGTAGTTATTTAATAAACTGTATACACTAATATCCATGTGGCACTTGTCACAAAAACAATACCTACAATATAATATTAGTTATTCTGTATTCAGTGAGTAAAAATATATACAGCAATGTGGTTTATCCCTATAATAAAAACCAAATACATAACACCTAAAGTCTAATGTGCCTATGCTATTTGTACAATATTTCTTGATTATAGTTTTAAACAACAGGTTGGAGATTAATGACAGTTAAATGATTGGAACAATACAAATTTACTTCATTTACTTGAATATCGTAAGTACTCTTTTATAATTAAATATTTATTTTTTATATTTTTTTATTTTAATTTAAAACCATAAGGTGACTATTATTATGAAAAAAAAGACATAAACAATGTGGGTTTTAAGTTTTGTATTCCCGAGATAGCTTCTATTCCCGTAACCCTCTGGGAACATATAGCAGTACTAGGTCTATCCGTAACATAATACGACGATAATAAGAGTAGGTCGAAATTTAATCTCATACCCATAGACACTTATTATTTCTCCATACCTAGCATTTAATAATTGTTATTTGTTTGAAAATAATATAAAGTACACAGTATTATAATTTATATGGTAGAGGTACTAACTACTAATATAGGTATGTATTATGGTATAGTGTACTTATGTATATCTACCTACTTGTACATTAAAATCATTAAATTTCGACGAATCAAATATTAGAAATGCAGCTATATTATTTTAAGATTATATGCGTAGCAGTAGGTATATTGTATATTTTTAGTTATAAACATATGACTATATGAGCTATATGAGCTATATGAGCTATATGTGTACACGGATACATAGTGCATATTATGAACATATAATAAAAATATTGCAGAGTATAAGATTTATGCGTTGGTGTAATCATACCTTTTTCATATACATTATCCAATTACCCAACGCATTTTAAAATGAAACGAGAACGCAAATAGAAATGTTCTAATATACTTATTATCTACTTTTGAACAAT